TTTGAAAAAGGTATCCAGCGGAGTCACCAAGCTGTCATAACCATTTAAAAATAATAATTTTAAAATAATTATGACTTTATTTGGAAATTTGAGATTTTTGATAATTTAAAATTTGATTAATTTAATTTGATTTGGAGTCGCACCAACCTTGGGTTAGGTAGGTCGAATACCTAAACATCTTTTAAAACATTTTAAGAAAAATAATTTTAAAGACAAAAATTAGTTTGTGTTTACTAATGATTCAATTTAAAGGATTCAGTAGTCAATTACATGTAAGGAATGATTAACACCCCACAACGCCCAAAATTGGTACCTAATAGTTTATACGTCGTCGTTACAGTGGAATTTGCAAGTTCAAGTCAAAAATTAAAAATGATCCTTTTCTATCTAACATTGATTGATTAGTCGAATAAAAAAATTCACAAAAGCAATCATTTATTTCAAGTTCGAATGACGTCGAATCACACCATTTGCGAAAAAACGTTGAAATATACCATTAAATATAAGAATATATTAAATTTTTAAATATTGATTCCTCTTTTTAAGAAAATAGTTTTAACAAAATATATATTTATAAGTATTAAAACATTTAATATAATATATATATATATATATATTATATATATATATATTATATATATATATATAACACTGATACATATTCATATATCGGTACGCAAAGATTAAAGGAATATGCTATAATTTAAAGCAAAACATGATGGAAATGTCAATTAAATGTGATACACAACAAAACCATAAATGCATGATAAAACAAAGATGATACTAACGACATATAATGCAACATAAAAAATCGACTAATAAACTAACATTTAAAAAAAGAAACAAAGAAAAAAAAAATAATAATATAGGTAATAGACATAATATATAAGTAGCTATAATAATAATAACAATATAAACATCTAAATATATCAGGTAAAATGAAAAATAAAAATGAAATATAAAAATATAGCCCAAAACAAATAAAATTCACAGGGGATGAGCGACAAAACCACCAGATCCTAAGTACCAAACTTAATGGTGTGACTAAAATAACACAAGTAAACATTTAAAGTCTAAATCATGCATTAGACAAATTATTCAAAGATAAACAAGGACCGAAATGAAAGTCGATTAAAAAGCAACCCAAATTTTGGCAGTGGGAACTGGGATTGCATCGAGAAATCAGCGGAGCACCCGTGCCTTCTTGGAAATAATATTCCTCTTTACTTTTCTATAAATATTAATCCATCGCCAATTGACCTTCTTTTCTCTGCAATTTGTATTTATCCACACTTGTCAATGCAATCTCTTAAAATTTTCTTCTTGTACACAAAACAAACCCTCTATACCTCAAAAGAAAGAAAAGGTTTCCATGTAAGTAATTACTTTTTTCAATACCAAAGAAGAGATCATTCTCCCATACCCCTCTCTCTAAAGTTTTGTTTGCATGTACAATTAACTCGCTACTAATTCAAAAATTTTTTAGTGTGGACACACGTATAGTAACATTTTTTAAATAAAACTATGTTTCATTAAATAAATATAAGGTACAACAAAAGTAAAACATCCTAGATAGAAATCCAAAGGGCGTGAAGAAAAAAAACTAAAACCTTATATCGCATACATGTTTCATCTTTCACACAAACAAAGCAATTATTAATCTTCACGTCTCTATTTGAACCTAAACGTAATATTGATGAAGGCAAGGAGTTTAAGAGAAGCAATCTAACAGATTGCTCCGTGAGTAGTTTTGAATGCAGATAAACTGTCATAAGAGGAGATTTAACTATACGAGACCATCAATCTTTCCTGATCAAGAGGTTTGCCTTGATGAATGAAACATGAAACGTCAACTATCATAATTATAGATAAAGTTGTCCCATAATAGCATATGAACAACTGTGCCATAAAAACAGAAAAAACCACCTCTTTAAAATATACTAAACAAAGAAACAAAATAGAAGATTATTTATTTAGATCTAAATAAAAAAATTAGCAAAAGAAAAGAAAAATAAAAATAAGGGAGGTGACGTCAGTTAGGTTATCGCCTAAGATGCACTCTGAAAGAAAATTAGAGAATCACTTTAAAAGAAAATCAGGTTTAAGATAAATCGCAAACGTAAACACAATCAATAAAATAGATAAATAAAAAATAAATTCAGATTTCAGAGTAACACTTACCCAACCACTAATAATTACTAAAGAGAAAATTTAGATTTAAATCTTAAAAACGTAGAAGAAAAACCCACAACATTAACATGAATTGTAAACCGGACATAAAATCTATATAAAAGACTATTTGATATTATATTTTTATTGATAATGATACATACTATCTCCCCGTATCAGATTGTACTGATGAACAGTTAAATGAAGATATAATACTATAATTCCTAACCAGGCTTGTAAAATGGCATGAGTAAAGACATATAGTCAAGTCAAACATAGCCAGAGAGAGAGAGAGAGAGCTGTGATTTGAGCCTATGGATTTATTTTATTTAATTAATTTCACATTAAATAATGCATGGCAGTCTTCATGCGTGTTGATGTGGTTTGTCTCTGCTGTATATGAAATAGGATCCTTATATATAAACTAACAAGCCCTAGGAATGCTCATTCTTCCCTCTTTTTCCTTGGGGTTTACGTTCATCTTAATTTGTCATAAAAATAAATAAATACTAAAAAAACCCTAATTAGGGTTCCGAGCTCTGTTTGGGATTCAAACTTTTTTGACTTGGACTTTAGCAAAACACACTTTCCATTCATTTGAACAACATGGATACATAGGCAGATTTATCATTAAACAAATGTTTAATTTCTTAGAGTCTTTTCTTGAAGATTGATTGCATCCATGTATGTGTTGGATATATAACTCTTTTATTATTGAAACCCATGGCCTTACATATGTTGATCTTTCCCTTGATGTGTGTGCATGTGTAAGTTAATTGATGTTTTTCATGCTGATTAATTACATATAAATAGGGTTTTAAATGAGAAGAGTCGAGTTTGAGTATGGATAAACTCAATTCTATTCAAAAGTTTAAAGTTGAATTCGAATCGAAAACTCTTTAGCTTAAAATTGTCAAGCTCAACTTGAACTATAAATTAAAAATTAATGCTCAACTCGAGCTAAAAAACTTGAACTCAAAACATTATGAGACTTAGCTTAAATATGAACCTTAAGTACATGAAAACCTTATATTGCATTTAAAAAAATATATAAAATGTTAAAATGATTAATGATTTAATTTAGAAACTAAATTTTTAATATATTATTTTTTGAGTTGTTTTAAAGTTTTCGAATCAGATATCAAATAGTTCGTTGAGAACTCGAATCGAATTTAAAATTCTATTTTAAACTTGAATAACTTATTATATGTCTCGTCTCATTTATATCTCTACGTATAAATAGCACCAAGGCCATGCATGTGCCCATCAAAACCTTGCATGGGTTTACGTTGATAATTCAAATTCGAATGGCGGAGGGTTAAAGAGAAATGGGCCTTGATAAACAATCAAGGATTCCATGGCTGTACTTATGAGCCTTGAACAGAGCAATATTGGTTCATTACGGCAGCCCAAAATATTTTTTAGGGAATTAGGACAGTTTAACTTTTAATTTGGGATCTATAGTATTTATTACACTGTATAGAACTCATCACCTTGTGGTGATGAGTTTCAATAAAAATATATTTTTTAAACTTTTACTACGATGTGATAAAAATTATTAAGAAATTTATATTTCATTGAAATTCGTCATCTCGAGATGATGAATTTAAATAAAAAAAATATTATTTGGGGGAGTTCATCACCTTAATATGACGAGTTCGTTAAATACTATAACAAATATTGTAGATCCCAAATTAAAAATTCACGTATCCTAAAACCTCAAAAAAATTTCTAAGTATGATATTGGGCCAATTTCGTCCCTTGAACAGTGCTGCTCTGTGGACTATAGTTCCACCCTAGATTTATCCTACAACTTTTTCATGATAAAATGTCATTTAGTTTAGTTTGAAAAGTTGTTTTTTATTTTTCCATTTTGAGAAATTATTATTATTTTTTGGAAAAATAAATGAAAATATAATTCTATTAAAAAAAATATATAAAAAACGAATTTGTTACGTATTACTCTCATAATAGAACAAGAGAAATAAACTGTGTTATTGTATTGATATAATATAATATTCTAAATTTGATTCACAAATTTTGAAGGTGTTAAATTAAAGTTCCGTTTGGTGTGGTTTTTTAAAAGTATTTTTAATTAAAAAATTCGTTCTAACCGTAAAATCAATGCCAATAGTATTTATTTCTAACAAAAACTAGGGTTTCTAATATTTCTAGGTTTTTTTTTTATTTTCAATTTTACCCTTACTAACGTATATACTCTACTCAATTATCTATTTATATTTTATTTTAATAATTCAATATTAACATCTTTAAAAATAATTTTTATTTAATAATTTATTTTAATTATTTAAAAATAAATAAAATTCATGGTTTATATATTAGAATACTAGTAATAAGTTATAAAATATATTTTATTATATATAATTTATTAATTTTTATATTTTTATTATAGTTTAAATTGATATATTTTATATATAATAATGCTTTCTGTTGAATTTATTTATAATATATATTTTTTATTTTTGAATGGTTAAAAGATAAATATATCATTATATATTTTTTATTTTTGAATGGTTAAAAGATAAATATATCATTTTAAATTTTAAAGGAATGGCTGTTGTTGAATTGAAATAAATAAATAATTAATGAGAAATATCATAGCTTCTAAGTTCAGTAAATTCACTTTAATTTTCAAGCATTGACGTATTTTTTTATAATATTTTTTTGTCAAAACAAATATTTAAATTATTATTTCGCAATAATTTGATAACCACATGTTAATACTTAATATTGATAATAATTTTTTTAATAAAATATTTCATTTATAAAAATTTTATTAATGAGTTATCTTACTATATAATATTGGGGTTCTATCCTTAGACTGCATCTCACTTCGAACAATCGAGTTAACAACCTCTGGTGGGTTCTGTAACTCAGCATAGCCACCTTGCATCGTATATTCATAGGGAGTGAGGGCAGCAGCCGCACTGTTAGCTTCCAGGGAGATTAGCTTAAATTCGACCGTCCAATTGTTTTGTAGCAGCTTCCGAATCCTCCGAACAATCATTGGATCTTGCCCTTGGTTTCGGAGGGTAACAAGCTTGATGGCTTCCGCGTTGCCCATTTCCACCATTAACCGGTTAACTCCCTGCTTCCAAGCTACCTGCATACCATCCAGTAGACCCCAAAGCTCCGTATGAAAAATCAAGCAATTTCTAATTTGCCGGCTATAGCCAGCGATCTAGGTACCTTCGTGGTTTCGGAGGATGCCTCCGCTAGCTGCCCTCATGGTCCTTTGATTAACTGCTCCACCGGTGTTGAGCCATGAGAACGCCAGAGCAGGAGGTCTCCTGGTTTGCTTATTGGTCGGGCGAACGGTATGAGGGCCACCGTTCACCGATCTAGAAGCGATAGAGATAGCCCAAACATGGGCACTTTGAATAATCGCCTCCGACGACCAGCTTTCTCCGTTGAATATGAGCGTGCATCGGTGCTTCCAAATCTTCCAAAGCATTACCCCGAACATATGCCCACATATAGGTGGCTCCAGTACAATCTTTATCATTAAGGTTCGATTTAATCCAATCAAAAAGGGAAAGGGTGAGAAAACTCCCTTTTCAATGTCTCGGAAGGATTTGCTTCCAAGTGGTTCTAGTGCTTGAGCATTTCCGGAGAACGTGAAGGATATTTTCATCGTGACCTCCACAAATCGTACAAGAAAGATCCCCCGATAAGCTTCGTCTAGTTCTCTCCACATTGTTCAAAAGCCAATTCCATAAGATAAGCCAAATGAAGTTCTTGATGCGTTGGGGACCATCTTGCCAAGCCAAATTCCAATCATTATTTGTTGGATCCCAAGCATCCCGATGAAGAGCCTGGTAAGCGGTTTTGACGGTGCACTGTTTCTTCCTTTGTAATCAATTTTTTTTTAAAGGGGATCAGTTGTCGGTTTAAATGAAGGACAACACACCCTACAAAGGATGAGTCCTCACCGTTTCATGAGTGAAAGGAAGTAGGTTAGGTAGTATTTTAAAATAAGGTTATTTCAGAAATATATATATATATATATATATAAGTTACATTATGCCTCTTATTTTTCTTTTGATGACTTAGATTTTTTAATTAAAATAAATGTTTAGTGTCTATTTCGTTATTATTTAATATTTTAATTATTAATTATTATTAAAAAAATATTATTTAATTAGGGTTTGAAACATTTTTTAAATTTTGTAAATTACTCAATTTTTAAACTTCATATCTCTAAATCACATATTTCACCGTTGAAACAACTACCAACTAAGTTTTTTATATCGTCAAATTCTCATCGATCGATTGTACATCACCATTCGAAATAGAATAATTATAATATCTAATAGCTAATTTCATTGCACGAAACATAAAATGACTATAAGATAATATTTATTCAGAAATGTTTCTTAATTATTGACAAAATATATATTCTCATAAATGGATCGAAGAAGACGGGTTGGAATAACCACCTTAAAATTTTTAAATTATCTTAAATTTTAATTTTGTTATTTTTTATTGGTAATTTGTGTTTACCCTTCTGTTCATTCATTTATAAAATTTTGTAAGTTCGCCCTCCAACTAAGACAAAATTATGTGTATGTCCTGTAAATATTTACAGATATAATCATTCAATAGATTCAAATTCTATTAATACTTAAAATTAAGGAAATTATCAAGTGAAATTGTCAATTACAGATTGTAAATGAGAGACGCTGAAAGGCGTGTCAAGTCTTTGTAATACTCTAGCTGGCGGTTTGGTTGAAAGACAGCTTGCCTAGTGGGGTTTTCGTGGCATAATTGGGCAAGAAAATGAAATATTATTTAATATACAAACAAGCTTTGATTATCTTATTATTATCGTGTATACTTAATATCATATGATTATTGATGGGTGTAACTATTATTTTAATGTTTCTATCATATGATCAAAGATTATATTGTCATAAAAAAATCATTAAGATTTCAATTTAAAGTAAATATTTATAAATTGATTTTGACTCTAGAAAAAGTGACATCTATAACAATAAATGAATAATGTTTCCACTGACCTTAACTTCATAAATAAAGTGACATTTATAATATTAATGCTTCTACCTATTAGGGCTGTAAATGAGACGAGACAGATCGCGAGCTACTCGAGATCGACTCGATTAAGGCTCGATAAATACTCGGATCCAATAGACTCGACTCGAGCTCGAGCTCGACTCGAGTTCTTAACGAGCCGAAACGAGCTACTCGATATTCGACTCGAAAAGTTCGTGAGCAGCTTGAAAAGTTCGTGAGCAGCTCGAAAAAATGTTATATTATAGTTTTAGATTTTTTAAAATTACATTATTAAAAATATATTAAAAATCCTAAAACCTAAACTCTAAACCCTTAATCCGATTATATGATAGGGGTTAAATTATGCACATGAAGGTAACATACAAATTATGCAAAATGATATTATGTGACTCCTAAATAAATCATCCGCATACTTATATAAACATATCAACATGCAAAATAAATATACACAACTAATTAAAGAAAATAATCCTAAACAGGGACAAAATTAAGAGAAACCTAAATGTGAGGACTAATTTAAGCTAAATATACTAACTTTAGAATGATGATTAAATTCACGTAAATGTTAAATTAAACTTGTTATCGACCGATACTAACTTGTTATCGGATTTCTTTTTCCAGTGTTCAATGTTTGGTTCCATCTTTGTTGAAAACATTTTGATGTTTCGATATAACAAATTAAATTAAAAGAATTTTAATTTTGAAAATGATTTTTCTAAGCATATTCGATATATTAATTCGAATATCAAAATATTACTCAAAGTATTTCAAAGTTCATTTTAAATCCTTACTAAAGTGTAAAATTAAGTTTTAATCTTAAAATAATTTCAAAACAATTTTACAAAGTATTTCGAACCGTTTCAAAGCCAAAAATTACAGTTTGTCCAGAGGGAACCGATTCCCCCCAAGGGGGTACCGATTCCCTCCTGAATAGTTTTGCTCCGAGAAATAACAATGTGCTCGGAGGGTACCAATTCCCCCCACGCTCCAAGCAGAAATATTAATTGTTTTCACACTTAAACGGCTCCAATAACTTCATTAATGATCCCCAACGTTCAAAAGTTATTCAATGTGTATTTAAACAAGCTTAGAAGCCATTGATCAACAACAAGAAACAACAAGCAACTAGAATCAAGAGAGAATCAAAGAGAAAGCATCAAACTTCAAGTTTGTGCATTTCAAGCCTATTTTTCATTCAATATTCATTTTGCTTTCAAGAACACTACTTGTACTCAATTGTATTCATTCTTGAGTGTTCTTTTCTTTGTTCTAGAATTGTGCAAACAATCTACCTTGTGATTTCCTTGTAAGTTGTAAGTTTGCAAATTTGTAATCTTCTCTTTGGGAAGAGTGTTCTCAAGAATTGGGGTATATTCTTGAGGGTGTTGTAAGGTTATCTCTTTGGCCTCAAAAGAAAGAACAAATTAGTGAATTTGTTCGAAAATCCTTAGTGTGGATAGCTAAGGTAGTGGACGTAGACTTTGATTGAGAAAGTCAAACCACTCTAATCGTTGTGCAATTACTTTCAATTTTCTGCAAAAGCTTCCAAAAAATTTTAATTACCAATTCACCCCCCTCTTGGCTGATTCCGTCAATCGATTAACTCAACAATTGGCATCAGAGCCTAACTAATTTGAAGGTTTAATCGTCTCTTGAGTCGATTCGGGAAGAGTTACATCGATAATCAAAGTCATTACTGGCCTCTACTTCAAACTTCGATTCCGGTCTCGATTCGATGCCCGTCAACAAGCCTCCTTTATTCAATGGGGCTAACTATACCTATTGGAAAAATAGGATGATGTACTTCATTCAAGCAAGGTACATAGGAGCATGGAATGCCGTAGAAGAAGGATACATCAAGCCTCTCACTCATCCAAGATTGCGGAGTGAATGAGAGACAAGAATGTTCCAGCTCAACCCCAAAGCCATCCATATCATATTTTGTGCTCTTGGACCAGATGAATACAAAAGAGTTTCATCTTGTACAACCACCAAAGAAATATGGGACAAACTTTAAGTCACTCATGAAGGTACCGATGAGGTAAAGAAATCTAAAATTAGTATTCTAATGCATAGCTATGAAATTTCAAGATGAAACCAAATGAAATCAAAGCTATGACATATAGATTTTCAACGATTGTCAATGGCCTCAAATCATGGAGAGATCATTTCAAATGAAAAGCTTGTGAGGAAGTTAGTCTACTCCCTTCCAAATCGTGGCAATCAAAGAAGACGACAATCATTGAGTCTAAGGACCTAACATCCTTAACTCTTGAAGAACTAATCGGTTCCCTTCTCACTCATGAAATAATGCTTGAAGATGAAGTGGACCTCGATAAGATTGACGAGACACCAAAGGAGAAGGAGAAGAAAAAAAACATTGGAGTTGCTCTCAAATCCACAAAAGATGAGAGTGATTCGAATGACGATGATGATGACGAGGAAATGACATTATTTGCCAAATGATTCAGAAAGTTGATGATGCCCAACCGAGGAAGAAAATTCAAACGTCATGAAGGCTTCAAAACTAAATCGAAGAAGAAAGACCCGATCATTTACTATGAATGCAAAAAGCCGAGGCATATCAAATATGATTGCCCACAATTGAAGAAAAATGGTCAATCCAAAAAGAAGCACAAGGCTCATGTAGCTACATGGAGCGACGAAGAACGTTCCGATGAAGAGGAATAAGAAGTTGCAAACTTGTGCTTGATGGCTATCGGGGAAGATTCTAAGGTAACCTCTAACTCATTTGATTTGGATGAATTATCTTATGATGAGTTATTAGAGGATTATAATGGGTTGGCTTCGGATTATAAGACTCTATTTTCAAAATACAAATATGATATTTTAAAATTGAAAAACGAAAATAGTCTTATATCCAAGACCAACAATGAGCTTGAAAGTAAGATCAAAGAATTGCAAATCAAAATTAATGATTTTGAAAAGAAAAATACTGATTTGCATAACTTACTTTCAAAAGTTCATGATGATCATCAAAAGAAGATTGATGGTCTTAAAACTTCTTTTTAATAAGGTTGGAACAAAAAGTTTTGAAAAATGTGAGAATTCAAAATCCAACTTTGTTAAGAAACGTTTTAGAAGCTACAATCATAGAAGTCCTCAACGAGCCTTAAATGGTAAAATTGTTAGGAGTATATGGGTTCCTAAAGAATTCATTACTACTAAAGATAAAGATGTCCTTCATAAATGGATACCAAAGGGGACAAGGATTTTAGAAACTAATGAATATGGACCCAAAAGAATTTGGGTACCAAAAATCAAAAATTAATCTATGTTTGTAGGGAAAGGAGCATTGCTACAAGGCACGGGAAACAAACTCAAATTCATGGTACCTTGATAGTGGATGCTCGAGACACATGAACGGGGACAAAAATTGGTTCATAGAGCTTAACGCCAAAAATGGAGGAGAAGTGACTTTTGGTGATAATTCAAAAGGTCACATTGAAGGTATAGGTACAATAGGTAATACCTCTTCCATACAAATTAAAAATGTTTTATATGTGAATGGATTAAAGCATAATCTTTTGAGTATTAATCAATTTTGTGATAAAGAATTCAATGTCATGTTTGAAACTAATGGTTGTAAAGTTATTGGCATTGCATCTAATCGGATTATGCTTGTTGGTCATAGAATAAGAAATATTTACACGGTGCATTTAGATTCTATTAATGTGACTAAATGCCTAGTTGCAAAAGATAAGCATGATAGTTGGTTATGGCATAGGAGACTAGGACATGCTAGCATGAGTGTTTCTTTTAAATCCATTAATGATGTGTCAACTAGTAGAGTATTACAATTGATCCATATAGATCTTTTTGGGCCAACTAGGACTACTAGCTTGGGTGGAAAACAATATGCATTTGTCTTGGTAGATGA